CCCCCTGGTGGGCTGAGCTGGCCACACACACTAAATAAATAAATACAAAAACCAAAAAAAAAATAAAATAAAAAAAAAAGTTATCAGCATCCTCTCTGAACATGCCACTATTCTTGTACTCACATGTATTCTAAAACCCAGAAATTCATCAATTTTGTTGCTCAAGAGATTTTGTAAAGCTTAATTTCGAAGCCAGGCATCATAGTGGACATCTATAATCCCAGTACTGGGAAGGCTAACACAGGAGGATTGCTGCAAGTTTGAGGCCAGCCTGGGCTACAAACTGAGCTCAAGGCCAGCCTGAATTACACAGGGAGACCCTATATAATAATAATAATAATAATAATAATAATAATAATAATAATAATGTAAACTAAATCTTATTCCTGAGCTGGGTGTGGTGGCACAAGCCCATAACTCCAGCACTGAAGGGCTGAGGCCATAAATTTGAGGCCAGTCTGGCTATACAGTGACTTCAAGCCCAGCCTAAACTACTGTGATTCCTGACTCACAAACAAAAATAAATAAATAAGTAAATACAAAATAGCAAAAGCTACTCCTATCACTCAAGGAATTCCAAAGGTTTTAGGAACTCTGTACAAAGAGCTGGGGAAAGACCAAATACATTGCAGTTTATGCCAGTCATCCCTAATTTTTCTTTTCCGTCTGGCATCACTATTCCATGGAGGATTCTTCTTCCTCTCCCTAATCTTTTTTTTTTTTTTTTTTTTTTTGGCAGAACTGGGGATTGAACTCAGGCCCCTGTGCTTGCCAGGAAAGCACTTATTCTACTGAGCTATTTCCCCGGCCCAACCTCTCCCCAATCTTGTCACTGGTTTTCTTTTTCATTATGCTCTTTCTTCATCTCATCAACTACTGTAGTCTCAATCAGTAAGTTAAACTAGTACTAAGTCTTAAATTGCCTTACATTACCTATAGTTCCAATCTCAAACATATAACTACCTCTGGAGAGTTCTAATTACCCAAAACCAAACTACTCAATCTTGTTTCCACAAACCCATCTCAAGAAAGGGCATTCAGCAAGCCAAGTAACCTTTTTATTCTTCTCTTACCTTCATGAGATAATCATGAGCTAATTTAATGCTTCTTTTATATATTTCTCATCAAGACCTCCTCTCCAATCAAAACGAGGCTTAAATTTCTTGCCTGGATTACTGCAATTGCCTTCTACTTCCTCTTCTTCCTTCAAACTATCCTACTTCATGTAGCGAAAGTTATAATACCAGATCTTCTTGGTGATATTACACAAAAAATGCAAACTCCTTGCCATAACATAAAGGGTTAATAACCTGGACCCTGGAACATGGAAAAACACGTTTCCCAACCTGTTAGATATCACACATGCCAAGTACATGGTCTCACATCAAGAAATGAAGTCAGGAACCAAAGCAAGACAACAGAGTCAGGAACCAAAGCAAGACAACAGAAGAGTTTTATTAGATACAAGGAGCAAAAGAATAAATAGCTCCTGGATTTCCAGGAGGGGTTCCAAGTGGGCAGCCACTGCGACTCTTTGCCAAAGGTAATTTATTTATACAGCAAAGTCACAACATGGGTCAAACCACAATCAACCTATAGAAGTACACAGTCACTTAGCTAATACTTCCCCAGAGGGAAACAGGTGACATAGCAAGAGTATATATAAGGGGCTAGGGAGTTGACTCAGTAGAATAAGCACTTCCCTGGCAAGCACAAGGACCTGAGTTCAATCCCTGGTTCTGCCAAATAAAAAGAGTATATATAAAAAACAAAAGTACTTTTGGAATGGAAAGGGGGTATGGGTCCCAATGTTATGATCATCCATCTATGTCTCTGATGCCTATCTGGACTCCACAGAGCACACACTGTGGTGCTAATTACAGCACAATCTCAAGCTGTTGTTTATTTCTAGCAAGGCAGGAATGCAGGCTTGGCTTCTATTTCTTTACCCTGAGGTGTGGCCTTCTCTTCAGACTCAACTCCAGCCACAATTCTGACATCTTTATTTTTTGTGCTCACTTCCCTGGGGCCCAATCCCTCTCTGACTGCATAGTAACTGCTGTATGCCTTAGCTATCTGTAGTACCTGCTTACTTTTCTATCCTCTTAGCAATGTTCCCTAATACTTTAAATTCAACAACCTACACACACCCTAGTCTCCTCTTCCTCCTTTTCCATTTGTGGATCTTTTCAATAAATGGGCTTAAGGGCCGGGGAGATGTCTCAGTGGAATAAGTGCATCCCTGGCAAGGGCAAGGGCCTGAGTTCAATCTCCAGTTCCAGAAAAAAAAAAAAAAATCAATGAATGGGTTTTTGGACTCTTTTCACATTGAAAGCTAATATAAATGTCCTCCACTTATGTGCTGTTCAGGACCTTTACAAAGTATTTACTATATACTGCCAGCCCAAGGAAAGAAAAGATCAAAATTCAAACCATGGTTGCAGCTGAGTGTGTATTACTACTGCACCATCATAAAGTTGGAAAAAAAACTGTTAAACTGAGCCATAAATAAGGAGCCAATAGGGCATGGTGGTGCAACCCTATAATCTGAGCATTCAAGAGGCTGAGCAGGATTGCTGTGAGCTCAAAGCCAGTCTGGGTTGGTTTCAAGGCTAGGTTAAACTGCAGAGCAAGACCTGGTGTCAGACAGACAGACAGACAGACAGACACAGAGACAGAGAGAGAACAAATAAATAAGAAAGACCTCTTTACAGTCATTTGGGAAGGCTTCTGAAGTACAGACATTTAGAATGAGATTTAAAGAATGATACAAAGAAAATTTTAAGAGGAAAAAAAAGCTCTAAAAGGGGCTGGGGAGAAGCTCAGCAGAATAAGCGCTTGCCTGGCAAGTGTAGGGTATGAATTCAATCCTCGGTTCAGAAAAAAAAAAAAAAAAAAAAAGCTCTAAAATGGGAAATAGCTTAGGTTTAATAAGTAAATGCTTCTGGCTGGGAATGATGGAGCATTCTTGCAATTCAAGCACTCTGGAAGGCTAAGATAGGAGGGTCACAAGTTCAAGCCCCATGTGCACAACTTAGTGACTTAGGAAGACCCCATTGCAAAATAAAAAGTATTAAAAACTGGGGTTGGGGATACAGCTCCATGTGAAGGTCTTAGGTGCAATCCCCAGTATGGCAGGTAAATAAATAACATTTCTACTGATATAAAATGTCATAGTGGTGGCACACACCTGGAATCCCAGCACTCAGGAGACTGAGGGAGGATTGTTGCAACTTCAAAACCAGTCTGGGTTACAAAGTGAGCTCAAGGCCAGCCTGAACTGCAGAGCAAGATCAAGACCCTGTCTCAAAAAAGACAAGGGAAAAAAGGGGGGGGGGGCAATAGCTCAGCAGTCTAACAGCTGCCTGACAGGTGCAAAGCCCTGAGTTCAATCCCTGGTACCATCCCTGGCACCACAGGCCGAGCCAGCCCAGAACCAGGTGTGGTAGAGTACGCCTATAATCCCAGCGCTGGAAAGGCTGAGACAGGAGGATTACTATGAATCTGAACTTTGTAGCAAGATACTGTAACAAATAAATAAATATGTAAAAATAAAAAGAGCATAGTATCTGAGAGGCCAAGTATGGGACTAGTTACTGATCTTTATATTCCCAGTGAGACAGGATCAGGATGTGTGACAAGGCTGGCTGGGAAGTAGCTGTGACTTGTTAATTCTAAGATCCCAGGAGACATGCCCAGAATAGTTCCCTGAGCCGGGCACTTGCACTTCTGAGAACGTGCACATGCTTTTGGTAACATGGCTAAGAGCTAAGGTCAGCCTGAGGACTAGGGGACAACAAGGACATCCACACTGAGTTTGGCCACCATGTTCCCTCTTGCATGGTGGCCACCCTCACGCTGTAGGGCACACTTCAACTTAGCCCAAAATCACTCTGCAGGGCCTGTTTCTTTTCCTACCTTTAATAAAACTTTATGGAGCTGAGGATGAAGCTCAGCAGCACAGCACCTGCCCAGTAAACATAGGGTCCTGAGTTCAATTTCTGGTACCAAAGCAAACAAACAAACTTTGCTAAGCTATGTGCTTGTCAATTCTTTGCTCAGGACAGAAAAAACCTAGAAACTTGGGGCTGGTGAGATGGCTCAGTGGTCTAAAGCACCTACTTGTCGCGC